TAATTTTTCGAATTAAGTAAATAATTCAAAACGACATACAAAACTAATGATGAATTTATATCAAATCATACAATCAAATTTAGTATTTTTAAATGGCATTACTAAAATAGAAGTTAACGGAAATGGTTTAAAGAGCATAGATAAATACAAAATACAAGTTATGAAAAATATTAAATAATGTGCGATATCAAAAACAATAGTAATAATTTAATGTCTATAAAATAATATAATAATTAAGAGCTAATAAAAAAAAAAAAAAACAAATTTTTAAAGAATAATACATAAAATATATATAACATAATGACACACTTGTGGAATGTTGATCCAACTAATTAAATTGAAATTCACCAACATTTAACAAAGTAAAAACTAAATTAACTGTATAACCATACTAAACACGTTCGAAAGAGAAAAAGCTATGGATTAATTTTTCGCCGCATTCAATTGTCAAACATTTATCGTTTATTTAAATTTGTTGAAAATACGAGTATTTTGGAGAGCCAGAGAACAACTTAGATTTTTTTTCCAAAATATTTACTGTCATAATAACACATGTCTATATATAACATAATTTAATGATCAAGAATTAAATGTCAGTTTTAAATAACATTAGAATTATATTCATCAATGTATATTATAAAAATGTCATTAGTTAAACAATGCTACAAATTAAATACATATCAACCATTATATTGTAATTTATAAAACGAATGAAAAATATGTAGTTTTTTACTCTTACGAAGAATTTCTACACGATTCTAATAACACACCCCTTAGGTAAGGTATTTTATTTATCACTTGCTTGTTATATTATGAATATTGTTCAATCGAGTTTTTAAACTATAAATCCAACAATCTACATTGAATGTTAATCATTTTTCATAAATTTGTAATAAAAATGGCTTTTAGTCTAATTTTAAGGAGTTATCTGAATTTTAGTTCGGATTTGGGTTCAATATTCAATAACAAGGAGTGCTTGATAAAAAAAAAAAATAAAGCATCAATCACGAGCGAAGAGCATGTGTCAAATAAATTGTTTTTCAATAATTCAGTAAATAAAAAGAACCATTTATAACAGCTGTTGAAATATGAATTTTATACTATATTTACAAATATAATACAGATTATATCCATATAGACTCTAGAGTTTCACAAATTGTACTTTTAATAACTGACTGCCTAAACACATTTCTTCAAGGAACAAATTTGACAATTACAATGAAATCATAATTTTTCAATTTTTCTGTAGTCATCAAATCTTGAATAATTGAACTAATTGAAGACACGACAGTAATATCTTTGGAATATAATTCATATCAAAACGTACACTATAAGCAATACGAATAATAATTACTCATTAGTCATCGAATTCCACATTTGTTTAAAGTGAGGACAGGCTAGAATAACGGGCGTGATGCCAAAGTACTTCGAGAACAGGGTGTGAACGTTTATCACATCGAACGATCGATCGCGAGCGCCCGTACACACGCACACAAATAAACCAGGAAAAATTCCCTTTTCCAGTCCTGCGGACGATGGGTGGCTGGCGATTATATGTTATGTATGCGTGCGTAACAGCATAGTATAATTACGTATTTCAGTGTTATTGAGAAAATAGGAAATATACTTGATAAATATTTTTAGAAATTGTAACTTCAATTTAGGCTTCAAATTTTACATTTTTCTTTTATTGTTTTACACCCTTATACGGTGGCGGCCTTTTAAATGCGCACGACCGCGCTTGAGTTGAAAAAGATATAGGAAACAAATAAAAGACAATTAGAGAATAAAACGATTTCTAAAGCTTAAAAACTGTGAGATAGGAAACAAATAAAAGATAATTACAGAACGAAACGATTTCAAAAAGCTTAAAAATTGTATTACAGCAGTTAAAAAATGTATACGGAAGTACGTCGATTGGAGAACATACGCTTGTCCCTGGCGACGAGACGAGATTAAATACGTGGTGGTGGGTGATAGAAAGCAACAGGAGCGCGGCGAGCGGGCAAGGACTCACAGGATGACGCGAGAGACTCGTACGCAGTCGTTATCGTATGCGGGAGCTCGTGGACTTGTTGATCCTTTCTCGATTAAACGGTAACCTGAATGTGGAAAGTAAACGCGTGTAAGTTGGGAGTCGGAACGAACCCGTTGCCATCGTCATTGAACCGTTTGCAACATGTGTTTGCCCGTGGTAGCGCAGCGACGGCAGCGTTGCCAGGTTTGGCAAAACACCCTTCACAGCAATGGCATCACTGCGAGTCGCGCCGTCGCCGTTAAATACAAATAACGATAAAAACACGCCCAAACGTCAGTTTGCAAAAAATTTTACACAACTCACATCGTTTAGTACTTTACAATATAATACAGACGTTGGTCGTCGTCCATATGAATTAACGAGGACAACAAAGTTTTCAGGGCACGTCCACGAATTTTACGCTCTGGATAAACCGGATTGCATAAGGTTTTTATTACATCTCACCCGTATCATCTCCTACATTTGCGACCGTCCGACTGATAGACATGGATCGGTGGTTACGCATGCGGGGAAGCCCTTCTAGCACGACACGTTTTTTGACGAATTTTACGATGTAACGGCGACACTAAGGAATATTATAATTCCTCATTTCTCTTCGATTCATTGCTTTTTTCCGGTCCATTAAAATGTACGGATTCATCTCCGTTAATTCTATAAATATTTATCAACACGCGCCGATATTTATAAACGCATACGAATGAGAAACGAGTGCAGGCGCACACATTATTATTACAACCAACTACATATGTATAATATTATTATTATTTTATTATGATGACCCGTCAATCCCGCGTACGACGATTATCGACTATCCTAAGTTATACCCGGGCTAAAAATATACACGGTCAAAGCAACGAAACCAAGCGCATCCGTTACATCACAGCATTCGCGTGCGGGCGTGTAATAGAAATGTTGAAAAGACGTATTCAAACATCGCGTGTGTACATATGTATATGATGTAATGAAATTCAACATCAAAATCGTTAATCGACTTCTCGGAAAACACAAATATGAAACCTTTACGATAACAATTGTCGCCAAAAACCCTTCTTATGGATTTGTTGAAAAAAAAAAAAAACCCGCACATTCTATACCAGTTACAGGACTGGTATAGTGTACCAGTGCAGCGATGTTGACGCTTGGTGGTGAACAATGGTTGGATGACTAGACAGAGGAAGTAGTTATACTTTTGCGAATGTTAGTTCAACGGGTTTTTTGAGAAAACGAGCAAGTAGTAAAACCGCCTCCGCACGATAGAAGCGCGTTATTATATACATTGTTGTGCTGTTGTGGTTTCTTTTTTTGTCTTTCGATAGCCTAGACGGCGGTGTGCGGCTTGGGCCAAGGTTATCCAATTCCCTTTTCACAAAGCTATTATTATTTTATTCGGTTCATTCGGGTAATTGAACAAAATCCGGCAGTTAAAAACTCGGTCGGACTTACACACACACACGCTAACAAAGATACAGACATGTATATTAATTCAAATGACTCCAACTGGTCATCGTCGTCATCCTACTAACGTCAGAATAATATCGTTTTTTTTTTTTTTCTGGTCGAGAGCCAAAACAAACGATTCAGGATATTCCCGTTATTTTTAATTTCCACATGATAGTTTTACAATTATCCGTACATACGCGTTACATAAAAAACCGACGGTTTTTTCTCCTACATTCAACTGTCAACCGTTGTCGATAACATTATTTTTCAATTTTATGTTTGAAAAGCTGCACGTGCGTTTGATTTAATGTTCGCGCGATGACAGCTTTTTTCACTGTAAATCCAAACCAAATTAAAAAACCCCACCACCTGTTTATTGACGCGGGTAAGAAAAAACTGTTTACAAAAATAGAGGAAAAATGTACGGAAAAGCCTTCCATATGTTACATACGGATTAGCCGTCGGCACCCCTCCCGTCAAATCGATATATGGGCGAACTCTCGGCCAAGAAACGCAACACGTTGTCAGCGATCGGAGCAAAACCATAACAAATAAAATAACACGAATTTCACCCTTCACCCAATAGATAGGTGATGTTCGTATACACACATACACTCCCTGGACGAAAGAAAAAAAAAAAAAAAAACATCCATTTAATCTCCCTAAACCCCGTGCGAGTGTGTACACAACAAAAATGTGTGTCGATGGGGATGAATGCATAAGACTGGCGGAGTGAACGAAAAAAAAAAAAAAAACGACAATGTGAATAAAAGGTTCGGACACAAATAACAGGTGGGAACGGCGGGGTAGACAGCTGCTACCGCGGGTACGATTGTGTGCGTATCGGTCGGGAGGGTGCCGCGTTACGGTAACGATTTGCGGCGACTCGAAAGAGTATAATGTAGACACATTGTGGATGCCGTCATCGTACTCCCCAAATGCTTATTCTCATAAATCGTTCACGACGCGGGAAAAATACGTCTATCCGTGCGCTCAGGACTCGTATAGAGATTATACCAAACGAGGACGGCGACGGGAATAGCGTGAGAACAGGTTATATAATATACATTAACATAATGCTGTTAAAAGAGTCGGAGGACTGGAGTGTCGAGTTTCCGCAGATCGTTAAGTGCGAGATTCTTCAATGAAAAAAAAAAAGTGCGAGATAAAATGCGATGATAAAATTCGCATGGGATGTGGCGCGGAGGGAAGAGGCAAACGGCTCCCAACCAAGCCCAGCGGACGTCTTGTACAACGGTGCTCGTTATCTCCGTCCCGACGACAATAATAATGAATGTAGTGAACACCGAGACAATCAGACGTCGGTTTCTATTTATAACTTACGCGGACAGGAAAAGACCGGTCGAACCACGGTAAAGCACGGCCATATGTTAGGAGAGGGTCGTGTTACGCAGCAAGATGTAATGTTTATTGAGTATTAAATTTAAAATAAATGGGGAAACTAAACTTAGGATTAGGGGGGGGGGGACAACATTAATTATAACTACAGAGTAGTACTCACCACGCCTTTACCCTGATGATTACTTCTCCATCGGCCAGCGTAGGCTCCGGCTTCTTCAGGATCTTGACGGACTTGAGACCGCCGAACCCGGTGAGCACGACGGCTTTCATCTCAGCCTTGGGCGGTTCTTCGGCAACAGTTTTGCCGTTACCCTCGGCTTTGGACTGGTCGCCGGCCGCGGCATCGGGTACCGGTTTCTCCTGTTGTTGGTCGGCTACTGCTGCAGCTACCGTCGTTGCCGGCGCGTTCTCTTCGGCCATCGTTCACGTTACGGTGTTTATAGAATGCTCGAGGGAAATCGTTTGAAAAAAATAATTCAAGATTATTGACGTGAGAGAAAAATACCGTTTTGGACTGGTTTAAGTGCGCGGCGCAAGAAGACTTCGACAGCGAACGGGGTTCAAGCGAAGTGCGGACGGTTCAACGTACAAGGTGCAATAGAGACCGAATCCGCGGAGGTGTACATCAGTGCCGAGAGCGTTGCCGAAAGAACACAGAGCGCGACGGTGGCGGCGGCGGCAGCAGCGATGACGCGACCGGTGGTGGTAGTAGTAGTGCATTGGTGGTGGTGCTGTCGGCGTACACCCTCTGGTTGAAGGGGGAAACGCCGTACCGGCTCGCTAAGACTCCAGTGTGGCCATACGACCGGCGCATGTCCACCGTACTATTGCAAGCCGTACAACCGCCCAACAATTACATAACCGAATTCGCTAGTTTCCAACGCCCGATAATAGTATTTAACCGACAATGTTTACGTTTTCACGTATAATGGAAAACGGAACTAAATTTATTGATTAATTATGTGTTGAAATCAATATAATTTTGGGTTCGTATGTCTTTGTAGTACAATAGTATCCCCTATTTTTTAGTAAGCCCCGACACAAAGAGTGTAGTCCGAAACTGGAAGTGTGCACTACGAATTCGAGAATTGTGTACCAATTCTAATAAATACCATTTCTAATACCAATACTAATAAATAGGGCTAGGATTTTAATGACCATAAAAAAACTAAAAAATGACCTTAAAATAACCTAAAAAATTACCTAAAAATTACCTTAAAAAATGCTCAAAGATAAAAAATGATCTTAAAATATTATAAAAATGCATTATAAATTTATAATTATTAATTACAAAATTATTGAAATTATAATATTATGAAAAAATAGTAAAAAAATAAATTTTAATTTAGAATACTACAGTTTGAAGTTTGGACTTATCATGCAATTGCCAGCTTGAAATTTTCTGAAATATACAACAAAAAGTACATCTAGTGTGAATGAAAATGTTTAAAAATATTACTTAGTTTTCAAAAAAATATAATAAATGTCCATAAAATGCTGCAAAATGACCTTAAATCCATAACAGGATAAAAAATTAAAAAAAAAGAAGCAAAATAAGAACTATATATTTGGACTTGTATATAACCAAATCACATTTTGTGCTTGAAAAGCTATGTCCTGTAAATCCTAAAAAAAAAACTGCAAAATCTTATACTATCTTAGCCCTACTAATAAATAACATTACAATGAAGATTTTTTTTCTGGAAGCCATTTTCAGCAAGACAACTGATGAGAACTTAAATATATCTATTAATTTTTAATTATATATCTTACATTAAATTAAATAATTTGTAAATGGTTTTCAGATTCATATCGGACAAAAGTATATTTTCAGTTTAAAAAATAATAACAGATAATGTGCGATTTGATTAATAAAATATAACTATTACTAAAAATTATTACTACCATTGTACTAATAAATTATAATCATATGGAAGGGGGTACCCTCCCCCTATGTTAGGGTCACCATAACCGAGACGTAGTGAACTTGGTTAGGCCCCGGGCATTTTCTGAAGCCCGGGCCTCTGGGCTACAGCCTCCGTTATCCCCCCCCCTCTCGTTGGGCCCGATGATTATTTTTGTAAAATATAATCAATTTTGAATTAAAAATTCTTCGTCGGGTATACACAAAATCAATGAAATCGTGACTCGTTCGAGATTTAATTTTATATATTCCTGACGATGAATATTTGATTCTAAATCGGTCGTAATTTACAAATATAGAGTGGGGTAGTAGGTTCAAACGAATATTAATTGAAGTTAATTAGTCAAATATTAGAAACAGAGTAATGAAACAAATTTTATTTTATTGAACATAAAGATTGAAAAATAAAAATTGCTTTTTCAAAAATTTTAAGGAGTAAAAATTACATTATTAAAGTGGTGACTTTGATATTGTAAATGGTACCGCCGGCAATCTGTTTTTTCATACTGTCCTGAAATTTCTGTAGGATATGTACATATCTTACAGTGTTATGGACAATATGAAAAAATGGATAGCCGACTGTATACAAAATGAAGGCGGCTACTTAAGTAATGTAATTTTTGAAAGTTAAGATTTATATTGATAACAGTTAAATATAATCTTTGAATTGAATAAAATTAAATTTGTTTCATTTGGTCTACTTTATTTCTAATACTTGACTAATAAACTTCAATTAAATCTTGTTAATCCTAACCCACTGCACCACCCTGTATAATAATACTCCAAGCTAAGCTTTAATTAATTAATTTATACACATAGATTATTTGTTTATTTGCTAACTTATTAGTTACTTAGATCTTTATAAAATTGATTATAATTATTTGTATTTAAAATATAAGTAATTGTAATTAATTAAATAAAATTATGAAAAAAATAATAATATCATATATGCAATTTACAAACTATTTTCAATTTATTAGTCACTAAATTCGCTTGATTATTAACCATAACCAAAATACATCATTAATCGGTAGGTTTTCGGATAACGACCCAGATAACATGATAAATATTCAATTGCAAAATGCAATCACTCGATAATTTATCGTTAACCATCAAATTAAAATTTGATCAGACAATCGTTTTATAATGTAATAATATTATTTTATAGTCAAGTTTTTTGACATATTCGAATATTTTAATGAGGAATATCTTAAAAACCTATAATACTTTATTTGAATGCAGTTCTTGAATAATTAATATAAATTATTATAAAAAATCATTATCGTTTGATTTGATTACCAATAAAAAGATTTATAGTTTTCTGAAAGAAATCGAAAAACAATAGAAAAAAATAGAATTTGAAAATTTTTATTTACATAGTAGATAATGCAATTCTTAGTGGAACACATGTTATAACGGACGTACGCTGTTAGTTATTACCAAACTATATGACACGTTATGAAGCTGGTATAATTTTCAGTCTCAAGGTTTGCGAGCAATTTTAGCTATGATAAATAATATTAACTTTTATTATTAATATGAAATGGACGGAAATTTAATTTATATCGCTGCTAAAGTGCTAAATACTTGACTGTATATAAATGTAAAAGAATGCAAGAAAATGTAGAAATTGGAAGGACTATAGATTTAGCAAAATATTTATCATATTCAATTAAGGGATGCTCTGCACTCCTTCTCTTTTCTACCCATCAAAGCTTACATACCTGCTACTGTGCCCTAATTTACGAACACTCAAAATGATTAGCTATTAATAACTATAATTTTCTCAGTTGTATATCATTTGTACACTGATTATACGAATATAAAAACTAAACAACCTACCATTCATGCTTTATTTTTTTATTTATTTTTTTATGGATATTTATTTAAATTGTTTTCTTTTGGTAAATAGACAGCTGAGTTGTTTATATGTATATATGCTAATTAATTTAATAAAAATATCCTTATTTCATAATAATTTCCCATAAGTCCTTGCCTAATAAATAATAATAATCAGAGGTGTTCTCAGGATTTTTTATTGGGGTGGATATGAAAATGTATTAAAGGGTGATCCGTGAGAGCCAAGCACCCACACCCCATTTTTTCAATAAAAACAACATTCATTAAATTAAAATTAAAAAATATTATATTGTTAGTTAAAATATTAAATTTACAAAATAATATCCAGTTTTCTTGATTTTTGAGCCATCATATCAAGAACTTCTTTGGAATCAATTGAGATTTCTCTATAGACAGCCAACGATGTTAAGCCGTTAAGACAATTCTATGAATTACATCAAATTATGAAAAATATGATGTTATAATATTTATTTATTAATTTTCGAAAAAAAGAAATTAGTAACATGAATTACTTAATTTTATTTTGATAAATAACTCATCATAACTCGTCAATACACTATAGAAGTCGCTAAAAACAATTGATAAACACAAATATTTTATCAATTGTGTAATTTATGGTATCGTGAAACTAATTTATTGTTTACATTTTACATCAATATAATATTAAATTACAGATATTAATCTGTAACCGTGATCTGCAATATGTTGTTTGTATATTAATTGCATATTCGCAAGGAAAATTATATGGAGTCAAAAAAATATATATTTATTTAATCTTCATTAAAATATTAAATATCACTTATCAGTTAATCATGACATCTATCTTACCTAAAAAAAAGGCCATTGGGGGATCCATCCCCCCCGTGAGAAAGCCCATGATAATAATCAATACGTACCACCATCTCATAATAATAACCTTTTCGACAAAAAATAAGAATAACCTTTTCGACAAAAAAATAAGAGATGGACAGGTATGCAACAAGGAAGGATTCCAATTCTCAAACATTTTTCAGAAAGTTGGGTTATGAATTTCATCAGTACTACATGTCCAGTATGCTCTCTGCACTACAAATTCTTAGAATTTAGTCATGGGCAGTTCATGTAAAATTACAACTATAAGATATTGCATTGGGACAGTTTTTTTTACTCGTAATATTTTTCAGAGCTTCATCACAAATCATTATAAGTTAATTTACTAGTTTTTATACACTTGATTATTACATTAAGTGATTTTATAATATTATAAAAAATACGTATAGGTAAGGTGTAAATTAATACAGTCGAGTCGCGATAACTCGAAGTTGAAGGGAGATAAAAATTCACTTCGAGATATGTATTTATTATTCGAGATATCTTACTAATTAATAGGGGAAGAATTTTTTAGGGGAATAAAACACAATTCGAGTTGTCAAGTTTTTCATGTTATCGAGGTTCGAGTTATTGCGACTTGACTGTAATTTTATTATTTTACCATTATTAAAAATACAAATGAAGAATTATTTACAATTCCATCATATAAATTAATGTAATCTTTCTCTATACCATAGGTTCATGGACCCGGGGTCCGTAGATGACTACTCAGTGATCCACGGGGTGGCTGTGAGTTTTTTTGAAATAAGCCAAAATAAATTTGTTTTGATAGTATTTTTAAAATAATTATAATTTTTAAAACACTCGAAAGCCATTTGAAAGACAACAATGTTTTTAAATATAAAACTTAGATTACGATAATCTTATATGCCATAAAAGGCTATCGTAATCGTAAAATAATATAACATGGTAATACAATCTAACGAGTAGTTCAATTAAACACTGAAACCTATCACTTCTGTTGACCCGTCACCGTATAATAAAAATTATATTTATTTACCTATATATATATATATTTTTTTTTTTTGCAGGGGGGTCCGTGATTTTATTTTATGCTTTAAAGGGGTCCATGGCTAAGAAAAGGTTAAGAATCTATGTTCTATACCTTCGTAGTAAGTCATTTATGACTTTTGAAATTTTTTTTCTTCTGGGTGGTCGAAACTTGGGAACCCTTTCTCCCTCTCTACGAAAATACAACACTGCTTGAAAGTTATTATATATCATCGCATTAAAACCAATTATTCTAAGCGAAAATTATTATAGTATATTATATAGACAGATACTGTTATTTTTATAATATTAAATTTTAATTAAAATATACTAATTACTAAAATAATTAGAATTTTTTTATAAACATTTTTTAAATTTATTTATTTATTGAATTAGGTGAAATTTTTACTGATTGAATTTATGGTTACATCTTCTCAATTCTATAAAAATTCGAAATGAGTGCATGGTAAGCACGTGGCGTAACGATAGCAACAGGCATTTATTTGTAGCCAATATAAAACGTCAGTTAAATAGTTCTTAACTAAGAAAAGTTTAAGAAATCAATACAAATGAAATAAATTATACTTTTTTTTCGCTGTTTGACCAACAGCAGGGAAAGAACAAATTATACTTATTCAGACATAAGAACATAATTTTTTGAGTTAATAATTTACTACCCACAGTATCATCCTAATAAAATTAAAATGTATAAGAATAAACAAAGATAATGGTTTGAAACTATAAAAAATAGAGTTTAAAAATTATGTCTACACGTATTATAACCTACTTCTCCAAGATTTGGTATGTTAGAACTATAACATTAGAATGTTCATTACTCATAGTTATAATTACTTTGTGTTAACTCAAGATAGACTTAATAAACTTAATTTAGGATAAAAATAATAATTCTTTCATTATGGTCATTACATATTTTAATATAATTTCTGTATCTAATTCTATAATATTTCTATTAATGTAAATTAATCACAATATATTATATATTTATAAAAGGCACATATTCCGAATTATTTTTCGTGGAGGGATACCAACCACCCTTGTATACAAGCTTAACATATAGCAAGGATGGGTAACTCAAAGTAATTAGAGGACCAATTGTAGAACTTTAAAATCTAGAGGGCCATAGTATAGAAAGCAAAAATGAAAAAAAAATCATTAAAATTGATAATTGGCATTTATTTTAATTAATTCGATTTTACGGTTGGTACCGAATTGGTTCCCGAGCTCAAACCCCATGTGCCGAATTGGTTCCCGCCTGAAAAACGTATTTTATTAGGTACAACCGAATTGGTTCCCGTTTGAAAAAGGTATTTTATTAGGTATAGTCACATTGGTTCCTGTTTAATGCTTGTTAAAAAAAAAATTATAAAATACTCGTATATACAATTTGAAATCGTTGATTTGGAAGTCAACTAGTCATCACTTGGGTATATGAATTACAAGTAATAAAATATAATAAATACAATTTAAAATCACTGATTTGCAAATTTGAAGCTAACTTTCTTTAAATATTCAATTCTTGTAATATTTTCATTAATTTACTCAGTCATACAATTTTCCAAGTATTTGTTATTTTTTTTCCTGTTTGCTAGTAATTTGCTAATCTCTAGTAATTTATAGTCTATTATATTTCTATACTCTTATCGATATAATAATTGTATCTAAATGTCATACACATAGCTTTTAAATTTTTTTTTTTTTTTTTTGCTCTCAATACACTGGCCCATTGGATTCTAATTTTTAATAGTGTAGGTAAATTGTGTTAAAAATTAAAATTGTCATTATTTTACCTGTACACAAACGGGAACCAATAAGGTTATACCTAATAAAATACCTTTTTCAAACGGAGACAAATTCGGCCAAATGTGAACCAATTCAGTTACTCCCAATTTTACTACTGAACCAATACAATAAAATAATAGTACATTCGTATAATGCATTATACGAAGTGTGGCTATTATATACCATGGTATTGTGAATATAATAATGGTATAATTCCAATATTGGCTATAAGTCTTAGCGTAGTAACTCCAATATTTGAACTCTAGTTGTACCACTAATTGCAACTCTTGACATAATTATCAAAAGCCATTGTACCTTTGTGAATTTAAATAAAAATATTTTCTAATATTTTTTAATAATCATAATTATTATTAACATGTATATGGTTACCATATGATACAAATTTACTAAAAAATCATACTAAATTAAATATAATAAAAAAAAAGAAGATTTTATTTATGAATCCGTCGTGTCATCATCAGGTACAACTAAAGTATCTGGTTCTCGAGTAGAGTCCAAAGCTTTGTGTAATTTTTCTAATTCTAACATTTGTGTAGTATAATGTTTGCCCTTTTTTGGAGGTTTCATAATCAATCGGAGGTTGGGTGACATTTTTAATGCAATTACTGTACTTCTGAAATGTATTAAAATAAATCGTCAATCGTTATACATCATGATAATTTAAGTGGAAATATTTACTTAGAACTACCGACAACAATAACAGGCATCCTCCAATTAAATGATAACTTGGTAAGTTGATATTGACTCTCTGCTTGTATAGGTTGGCGGCAAATATTTTTATACTTATCTGCGTTTAAGTCATAAAATACCACATCACAATCTTCGGTAATGACGCTGAATACTGTACTAGAAAACGGCGACCAAAGGACATCTGATACACTCCACAGTATATCAAAGATTAACAAAGGTATACTTAAATGAAAAAAGAAACAAAAATTTCATAAATTAGTGAATCGTATATTATTTTCTCAAAACAAATAAAAAGAACCTGAGATAAAGGCACAGTTGAAAAACAGTAATTGGGTGATTGATATAGGTAATTTATATATATGTAATAAATATTATGTATAGGTTATATTCATATTTCATGATATTTTCTTAATTTTTTTTCAGTTATTTGAAGAACTGATGAAAAATTCAAGAAATTACCTCCTGAAAGTTCTATGTTAGAGTCTAACTAGACAATATTTCCCATCCGAAAAAAAAACGGATCAATCCTTTTCGTCGAAATCGTGTAAAAACAAACAAAAATATTAATAATAATAAAATTAAATATGGTAAAACCAATATGTTCCACGGTTCACACAGATTGTAATATATGAGTATGTCTGAACTGAACAACAAATCTAAGGGAACAGAGGGAGCAATTACCATCCTTAATCTGATAGGGGGGTAGGCAATTTATCGATATTCGTTGGGCAATTTTCAGACATAACAATAATACTCTACACAAATAAATAAAAATAATACACATCAATACACTTATATTACGTAACATTTATTATGCGAGTATAGCGAACAATTTTTTTTTCATAGGCGTGTAAGACTACATTTGTTTTGCTTCCCCCTCCCTCCCCCAACAACAACATTACACCTCTTGAATTAGTTAATTTGTAAATTTTTAATTTGTTTATAAAATAAATGGATCTAATATTTGTTAAGATTATATATTAAAGAAGCTGTTTATGTTTTATACAAATATTTTATTAAAAAAATTATATCAAGTTGAAAAGAAATGTATAGGTATAACAAAAACTTCAATTAAAAAATTTATTAATTCTTAGTAATTTAATTCAATATATAATCTTAAAATCTGAGCCTTAAAAATAATTTTAAACAATACAAATTTAACTTTTTAAAACATTATTTTTATACTTACTCAGATTTATCCTCCCATATTTTAACTGTGCAATCACCACTGCACGATAGGTAAATGTTTGGATCATACTTATTATAATCAATTCTATAAATGGACAATTCATGAGCTTTAAACTTTTGCATAAAAAATGAGCTCCATTCTGTATTACATTTAAATATATAACCCTCATTAGTTCCAACCAGGTATATCCCATTATTTTCTGGATGGAATGCAATAGTAGTTCCTCTTCCTAATAAATTAATCATGCTTCGTACATTATACTTTTACATACAATTTATGAGTAAAATATTTTATATTAATAGCTTACCTATTAATGTTTCACTAACTCCACCAAGAGTTATTTGTGGTTCTATATCTAAAACTAATGTAACTATAATAGTTTTTGATATTTCACTTTGCATGAGCAACCAATTGCAAACAGTTCCATCTTCAGATATAGAATAAAAATTTAACTCACCATCAGGCAAATCTTTTACCCAAATTACCTAAAAAAATTGTTTGCTCCGCAAAGTATAAATGTGAAATATAATATTTTTATACACGAAATTGTTTTAATTGTATATTTTAAATTTATTTAAATTATTAAAATTTTTTATGTATTTGAATACAATTTTACAAATGTACCTATAGTATGAATGTATGAATGTATTATATCAAAACAATATTATTTAAATTAAAAACTATTTGTTAATTACTATTATAAGGTAAAAAAATACGACTGTATACATTTAAAGTAAAAATAAATATAAACTCACCTGTCTTACACAACCCATATGCTTAGTATTGACTGCGTCTGTCATATATTGGGGTTCTTTAGTTGGCAAGCTAACGTTATATACAGCCAAATGACCATCGTGGAATCCAACTGCCAGAAGAAACCCATGATTTCGATGGAAATCTAAACACATAGCTCCACAATGGGTCTGGTTTATGTATTCGGGATATGATGGATTCTTTAAAGACCATAAGCATACGTAACCCACATCTGGACTATCAGTTAATGGCAAATGCCCTAGAGCTATGATTAAATATACATATATATAACAATTATTATTATTATTATTATTAAAGTAACAATTTTAGTTGCCGAAATGACCATTGATATATGTGCTATTAGGAGGAGGAGGTTTATTGTTATACATAAATATGTAGCAATAGTTGTTATCGTTTTACTATCTTTTTCACGTATGAAAACATTGCAAATAAACAAAATATAAACTACAACCTTTATTTTTTGAAAATTTCCCATTTTTCATAATAGTATCCTAGTGGTCTCATAGTAAATCAAAATTTTTTTAAAATACTGTTTTTTTAAAAATCTGTCCCGTATGTACTATAACTATTAACTATGCTTAAGTGATTATATTACGCTGATTTCAGTTTTTATTATCGGTAACTTATTTATAAACTCATATTATTATTTGTATACCTAGGTATCAGTAAAATTTAGAATTTTACTCACACAAATGTAGTGTTATATTTTGTACACACTGTATAAGAACGTGTTATTAAAATAAATAGCCATCATGTGACTATATAGCCGAGTCGGTTTATCTTCTAATGTCTACTCTTTACTAACTTAATTGTTTTTACATTTTTTGTCTATTTTCATTTTTGAAATTCCTATACATTCAGAAAAGTCTGTCATAAATTAAAAATGTATTTAATCCCAAATTAAATTTTTTACAGTAAAACTCATCATAAATAAAAATTTAATTTAATCCTAAATAAAATTGTTTTATGAAATTTAATAATAAAATAAAAAATTCTTTAATCCTATTGATACAATTTTGTATTGGATTGATTTAATGTTATTATTATTTTTAACTAACACATCTAGATAATTCTCAATGTATATAAGAATTAATAAAATAAATAATGTTATATCCTCAAAACTGAAAACAATTAATTTCTTAACATATTTAGAATACTGAATATACAAATAACATATTTTAATTATTTAATGAGTATTAAAAATACTTTTGTTTAACACTTAAATGTCATTTAGTTATTGTTTTGTGATTTTATTCAATCCCGAAAAAATGTCAGAAATATCCAATATTTGTTAATATACAATTAATCACACTCTAATAATAATACAACACTAAAACATTTAAGCTTTATGACCAAATATTTACTATACTCACGAGTTCCTAGAGTGACAGCAAACATGTCAAAATAGTCCGGACTCCAACTAATATCAGTTACATACAAATTGTCAGCTCTTTCATATGTCATTGTCCATAGTGGAAGTAGAGTTCCTTCTCTATCTCTAAATTGATCAGATGGGTCTTCATAATATCGAAAATCTAACAATAATACATTCAAAATCTAAAATTCAATAACTTAAATATAAACATATATTAATTATAATATTATTCATACGATTATTGAACTAAAACAAGTGATACTTCGCTTATGGTTTATATAAGTTTATATATATTGACCTTGAGCAATAGCATCCATGGTATTTAAGTTGATCATTCTTTCTAAAAATGTTGCTGTCATCAACATCATTTTTTCAGTTTGATCTTCAGTTACGTCATTATTTTTTTTTTTAATAGTAATTTTCTTATTTGCATGTATAGCTATTTTATCTCTTTTATCTTTTTCTTTTTCTTCTTGTTGCTTTAAATAATCTTCATTATACGCATCATAAATAATCCACTGTGTAGCATAAGTACAGAAATCATTTTTTGTTGGGGGTGTAGTTTGAATTTCTTTATCCTAATACATAGATTTATTATAATTTAATACTACAAAAATATTTGACTATATTACTCTTAAAATTATTTCTTCTGTAAGTGCACATCTCTCAAAGAAATTAAATTGATTCATAAGCTTCTTTGGTGCATTTCTTTGTTTAGCTGACAAAATAATATTACTCATAGGTTTATCTTTTGCGACTACTGGTGTTTCGTCATCTGAGTCTGAAGCAGCTTTAGGCTTTGAAATTTTTTCTTCATCCATTTCTTCTCTACCATCTGTTTCTTCATTAGGAAAGTCTCCTTCACCTTCACTATCTCCTTCATCCACTTCTTCTTGCATCCGTGTATCAACATTCTCATCTATATAATCTGTATGATCAGGATTATCATCATCGTTTTCTTCTCTTACCTGTTCAACAACAATTTTCTTGTCGTTGTCTTCTGTAAGATCATCTACGTATGTTAACTCTATAATACATAAATTATATGAAAAGTAATAATTATGTATATTAATATTTTAATAGCGAAGGATTTATTAATTTAACACTTAATATAATATTCTTTACCATTTTGTATATTAGTATTTTTTGATTCTCGATAAATTAATGTAGATGTTAGTTCAATTAATGTAATGAATGAATCATTATTTGTATAAGTCACAAAAGATCCATCTTTATAACTATAAACTACACGAGCAGTCTGTTCTGGTGATTCTACAACTTGTAAAATGTTGCTTATTGGCTCATCCAACTCCTAAAATATAATGGAAATACTTTTTAGTAACTACCTATATGTTTTTTATGGTTATTATTGTTTACAATTCATTAAGCTATACGGACAACATTGGAATTTTTAGTAAACAAAAATTATAGTTTAATTAAAATGAAATTATTAAAATAAGAGTATATATGATGCCTTCCAGTCAATCCTTCTTTGAAAAATTATAACTGCATAGGTACATTTCAAACCTTTATTTATACAAAGATTTAGAACTTAATGGATTTTTTTCAACTTTTAGGCTAAAAATTGAAATGATTTCTATTACAGACAAAAATGACAACATTTCTATACCAAATCAATCAACCACGCAAATCTACTGGTATCAAACATAGCCAGTTAATTCATCATAGATAATATCCCTCGTCGTTTAAAAATACATTGGAATCGAGATTTCTTGAATCTCGACTTGTATTAATGAACTAGAAACTTTCTCCTCCAAGTTAAAAAGTTTTCACACTAGTGGGTCTCCCTCATTAAGTTCTTGTATGTTGTTGCTATCTTAGTTAAGCTACCAAATGTATTTATTGTGTACGAATATAGTAGATTGTAAAGAAACTTAATTTTAAACTTAGTTGATGTGATTTTCATGTAAATTAGCTTTGTAAACATAATTGAAAAAAATCAATCAACTTAACTGAGTTCAAAAATATTTATTAATTTGCCCAGGTATGATAATTTGTAACTTTATATTGTGCGTTATGGGATGTATTATGACGATCAGACATTACGACGCAAAAGTATAAAACATTATATTGTAGTAACATTCTGTACTTAGTGGTAAAAAAAATTAACAAAAAGAAAGAACCCCAGCAAAGACGTTGGTAGATAATAGTTGTTCTCCAATAAATTAAACAATGATAGCTCAAGTTTGTTATACATCTTAAATTTGATGAAAGTTTTGGACAATATAAAAATTTTTTTCATATGTCTTCAGAAGAATTTGAGTTTTTAATAAATTTGATGGGGCCAAAAATAAAAATAAATTATAAAGGTTTTGGAAATCAGTTCCAGTCAAAGAAAAATTAGCTGTCACATAAGTCACTAAAAGTGCACCGTGTGCGTAATAAAATTTGCGTGTTAAATTAGTCCAAACTGAGCGCCGCATAATCCAAATTCCTTTGATTATATCCCGAAAACCAACAACTGGTCGGATAGTGTGCGTTGTACGTCGTGAACACTAACGTATGGCAAAATCACGTCTCGTTTGATCCAAACTTTTAGAGATGTGTAACTCATGAACTAGTTAACTCTTTAAAATGAACTGTGGTAGTTGAATTAGTGTTTCAAGAATCGGCGACTAAGTGAATATGTTGAATATTTGTATTATATTTTTAAATATTTCTTAACATTTTGTATGGTTTATTTTAATTATAAATTATATTATATAAGTTATCACAGTCTGGCTATAATATTACATTTGTTTGTTCCTGTGTATTACTATAAACTATGTATGAATTATGTTGATTACTGAATATATTTTATTTTATTTATGAAAATATGACCTTGAATTTTATATGTGTAATATATTTTAACTTTTTTCATTGATCAGCATGAAAACTAATTTATAATCATAAATTCATTCTACTAAATATGCAATAATTATGTTTACTGATGAATCAAAATCTAACAACAAAACCGGATATACTTGGAATACATAATATAAAATACGAGTACACAACCAATAAATTGAATAAATAAAACATAAATTATAGTTTCTAACAACACACAGGAAATTAAGAATACCTGTAAGTCCGTACTACTCGATTATGTGGTATGTATTTTCAAATGAATGATCATTAAAAAAATAGAAAAATATGAGAATAAACCAAAATAACAGTATCATATACATACATATTAATATTTTAAAGATTTAAAATATTAAAAACCATTAATTCAAATCTTTTGCGAGGTCTTGGGCAAAACTTATTTACCCATAACAATAGTCACGTATAGCCTGTAGGCCGCAATTAAAGGCAATAACATGTAATATATGCGATATCGAGTAAAGACTGATTAAATTTAAGAAATGCGATAAAATAAATTTCATATGTCGTCGTTGGTGCAGACATGACATATTAAATATAATATCGTTCTTTTATTAATTGGTTTTTTATTACACGCCAACAGATTTCTCTGGAAATCGCACTAGCTAGGCGATCCACACATTTCACGTTTAATTTTATGAGATTTCCGTACAAAATATTATTCAATGAAAATGTTAAGCGAGAGGCCCTTGAAGGCGCGAGGCTCTGGAAAAATGCCCCGTTTTGCATCCCCCTAACGGCAACCCTAATGGTACACGAAAACGGTGAAATTAAGCCAAATTAAAATATAATTACAGAGATTAGAAACAAATAGAACACCTATTATCACTAAAATATTATATTTTCCAAAATATTTCTCTGAGTGTAGCTCAAAAATAAAATGAATCATGAACCCTTTCAAAAATAATTATATTAAGAACATTCCAGATGTTATTTTGGCAAAAAATCATTCATTGAATTAACCAGCGACTATACTCTAAAAATTGCTTACAAAACCAAAAAGATCTCAAATTTTTGGCTGGATGTGAAAAAAGAATATTCGGTGTTATTTCCGCAAGTTTTACAATTTCTAATACTTTATGTGTCTTATATCTGTTTAAAAATGCATTTTCCCATATATTGTACACAAAGAATAAATATAGAAATAATTTGAACGTAGAAAGTGATTTTAGATTAAAGTAGCCAATATGGAGCCCGATATTGATCATCGTTTACTTAAAAAAACTCCAATCGTTGTTGAAGTAATCCATTATAATTATAATAATAAAAACAATAATGGAACATATTTAATTTAATTTTTGTGCATTACATACTTATATTTACATTTTCATAATTTTTTGGTTCCAAGTAAAATAAAATTTATAAAAAAACTCTAATTAAAATTATAGTTACTTCTTCAGTTAGTTTTAATTGATCTTCCGGCTTAAGAGGTTCGATGGATGTAACTGCATTAATGTCATCCGCGGGTTTAGCTATCTTAACTTGACGCCTGGAAGGTTCCTTATTGAATGGCTTCTTTGGACCCGGCTGAGACTAGTTTACGTGAGTGAAGTAATTTAAAAAATGTACATTATAAATGAACATTTACCTTACCAATGATAGTCTAGTTGCCTTTTTAGTTGTTTGATCTAATTTTGGAGGCATTATTAATATAAAATTAGATGTTCATTTAATAAATAAAACTGAAATATTATATATATACGTATTATTTTTTGTATTTAACTAAAATTTAAAAGAACTCTGACTCAAAAGAAAAAAGCAACATATTGTTTGTATAACCATAGAAACTAAATATATTGATTTAACTATTGTTGTAACTTTACAAGTAAATTAAATATTTAATGTTACTATGTGACTATGTAATATGTGTACACACAATAAAATTAATTTTAATTTAAATTATCCATGTTTAATATTGACTATGCAAATAATTTTTATACGCATTGACAAAATGAGATTTTCGTTCATCCAACTTTGAATTGACTACATTTAGCTGTTTTTCCATGCGTAAAATTAATGCTGCATTTCTGTTCTATAATATTATTTATTCAATCTACGTTATTTATTTCAAAATAAAGAATTGTTTGCTATTGTATAATAGGCACTTACAGTTTTTATTTTTAATCTTTGTCCTTCAGTCAAATCATTCATATTTTTTTCTAAAATATCAAATTCATTATTTAAAACTTCATAACTATCAACATCTGAAATATATCATAATCAGAATAATATATTTTGATTATTACTATTTCACATATAGTTCTAGTATTTAGATTTTTACATCGAGTACTATTATAATTCTTATACAGATATAATATACTTCAATGTGTTATTAAATAATGAGAAGTGTATAATATTAGGTTTTTAAATGATATTTTGAAAGCAAATATAGATTATTTAATAGCACATGAAATCTGAATTTATATAAGCACTATTTAGTATTTATTTGAACCAATTTACTATAGTCATTATTCGTTGTTATTAACTTCAATTATTGATCAGATATTTTAAGAATAGTCTCAAATAAATTTCGTAGACAAAACTATTCTCTTAATATTCTATTAAGATATTAATATATTTCTTCTCTTAACTCATTCTACAAGTTATTAACCATCCATAGGGTGTAAGTTAAATCATTATTTTTATATGACGTAAAAAAAATTTCATACTATAATAAGAAAACTCTTAAACTATTTATATTTTGAGTTATATTATATAGTTATATTTTTAATTTAATTTTAAAATACCATAATTCTATGTTGATGTTTATGTTATTTTAACCATAGTATACTCACATATCCCATGCATCAGTTATATTAAATGAATAATATAGCAAATTTTTATCTTAAAAAGCATTAATAAACTTCGTAATTTTAACTGTTTACTTTTAGTTTAAAATTTGGTGAAATTATTGTTTTTTATGAACCACCATGATTTCATTGAAACTAAATTCGAGGTTTTAAATTTAATAAAGTATAAATAGTATACGATTTGTATACTCTTGTATACTTGCATTCGCATTTGATAGTAAAGTGAAATAATAATAGTAAAGTGTATACCTCGCATTGGTAGGAACAATGCCGTCTTTATCCTAAGTACCCCCGAACTAATGGGACTCCTAAGCTCGGTGTGTCCAAGGCCCGTAGCATAGCCAAATACGGCTTTAGATAGGTACTACTATATAGTATTATTAAATAACTTAGTCACCTTCAGAAACTTTAGGGAAATTTTGATATAAATATTTGATTTGTATTTCTTGTTCATACACATTCTTTAATGTATTAATTTTTTGAGATAATACATTGGTCTCCATCCAAATATCCTGTAATCATATTATAATTTATAAATATATAGATTACTCATTGTATTAGATGAATCATAATATAATACCTTGTATGATTTAAGTATATAAGTGTATTCATTTATTAATTTATTTTTCTGATTAGTCAAAATCTTTGACTTATATTCATATGCTTTAACCAATTGATCATTGTTAAAATTGCTATATTTGTTATTCATTTTTAAGACTACAACAATATTTCATACTAATTATTTAAATTTATTAGTATATACAGCATATTACAAAATAATTATTTACATTAAACAACATAATTCATATAATAAAGTAAAAACTTATATTTATATTCTAATATTAGAGCAAATTACTTGTTTACTTTTTTAAGTGCCTACATATATTTTTAAGACCAAAAAGAAATCAAACCACAATATTTAAATGAATATATTTTAATCCTATAGAGATACTCAATTAGAATTTCGGTTCGGTCTGAGGACTCATGTTATCAGGACTGTATTAAGGATATAATGATACTTAATATAGCCTATGGTTAGGGCCCTAACATTATAACATTATTACGGGAATATGTGAAATATTTTTAATATTTTCAGTATTTGAAAGCATAAAAAGATATTGAATTTATGCAACGATAATTTAAAATCACTTAGTAATACTATGTAAAATTACCCAATAGAGTTCTGATCAAGTTTGCTACCCGTACTATTTTTTAAAGTATTTTACTATTTTTACTTCTGTACTTTATAATTTGTAGTTCAAATAAAGTATGTCCAAATACTTTATTATATAATACCTAAATACATATTTTGTTGATAATAAATAGTTGATAAGAAATTTTAAAGTTAACACGAATATAGATATTGTAGAATAGCGATATATAATATAATTGTTTAACAAAGTATGAAATGAATTTCTTCTTAATAATATTTCCAAATTTGTTAGTTTTATAAATAGTATTCCTGCAATATTAAGTAAGTGAAAATGAGTATTTTCTATGATGAACTTGAAGTATAGAAATTAAAAAAATTTGTGTAGGTTTGAACTTCTTAAATATGAATAAATTTAATTAAATGTAATTAATTAATTCCTAATTAAAGTAATTCTTAATAAAATATTGTTAAAAAGTTTAGTTTTTCATAATAAAAATTGTATGGTTGAAAAAATATTTTATTTTTTTATTTTTGCGTTTTATACTATACTGGTATCAATAACCTAATCCAGTGTTTCTCAACTGGTGTGTCGCCGGGTTATTCCAAATGTGTCGCGTGAATTACTAATATTAAATGACACAAAATGTACAAACATTATTGATACTTATTACAAAAATTAAAAGGTATTAGATATAATTTCTATGATGAATAAAAATAGATTATCAGTTATTGACATTAAATCAATTTTATCATTATCGTAATTCTAATTGATATACGTTGGCTATGACATTCTAAAGAACTACAATTAAATCAATTTGTAAAATCAGTGAACATTTTAGATAAAGTTGAGAAACTCTGACCTAATCTAATGAGTATAACACACAATATTTAAAATATTTTTTGAAAAAAAAAAGTTTCATAAGTGATGTACCTACTTTATTTTGAAAACAAAAAAGGAGCAACCCTGGTGAAGTGTGCTCGCAGGATAAAATCCCACCCGGGCAAGATTAAAATTCTAAAGGCCAAAACAACGTGTATCTAAAAATATATGAGAAAAAAATCAAATACCATAGAAATCGTTACTCGGGAGAATTGATAATTTTAAGCGATATTTAGTCATATGTAAACGTTCTAAACTAATAAATACGTTTAAGATTATACATTTTAGATTATCTAAAGAGATAATAAATTTTACTGAACTACATAAATGGATATTAATAAAATTATGTTATTACTAATATGCGTAGTATTAAATTAACAATAGTTTTGAAACAAAAATTCCTATTATGGGTAATGGCCCCTTTGCCCCTTCTGCTGGCGCGCATGACCCTGGTTATAATAGCAGTCACACCTTCAAGTTTTTCTGATCGAGATATCTTAAGAATTAAAAAAAGTACATTATTAAAAAAAATTGGACGTTATTTCTCACTCTCTTATTTAGGTATGGGAAGACATTTTTCTATTCATCAAAAATAAAATTTGCCGTTCTACTCTAGAACAGTTTTCAGTTGCACACTCCATACCTCTGATAACTATACGCAACTGATTCGTCAAGACAACATATTATTTTATAATTATTTACCTTCTGGTTATTATTGTTATAATCGTAAACGGCGAATGAGGAATGTTAAAATTGACAAATTAGAATTGTTGATATGAATTTACAATGACGAAACTTTGGAATTTACTACGATGGTAGCCGATGATGTTTTCGTAATTTTCAAGATGATAACCGTATTCTTTACTTTAGAGTCCGGTACCTGGTTACATTATACCGAACTACTAACTTAACCATAATTTAACATTTTTCCGCCAATTTTATATTTTTTTCATTATTTAGAGTTATCGTCTCTACCATAGACATAATATAATTAGGGACGTTGCGATACTACCGATACCAATAAAGTATCGATACTTTTCTTTCGATACAAGTACTTTTTTGTATCGATATCCATGGTTTCGATACTTTACTCACATCGATAAAAAAAATACTGGTATCGAATCATTTACTAACCGCCATATTGGTTCGAAAATCAAAAGTGATCGAATGGTATCGAACAATAATTCTTTTCTAGTAAAATGGTTTGCGCGCGTGGTGGAGGATTTGCTTATGTAAATCAGTGATCGCACTATAGTCTATACCATGGGTCACCAAATGGAGGCCCGCTAACAAATTTTATCCGGCCCGCAGACAAAAAATAAAACACATATTACGATAACATTCTATGCGTTATTATCAGGGCTCAGAAGTTCTAGCAAATGCATATTTTTCTTTGTTCATCCTAGAACATCGAAAGTAAGATACAAATATGTTTCACGTTATACAGATATCATACACAAAATTTAATTTTGCTATTTTTTTTTTTTTGCATATTTACGGGTCTTATTGCTATTTTGCTAATTTAGGGTTTAGGCCTATTACACGGACCACTTTTGAGCGTTTTTTTGTGATTGGCGTGTGGTTGTGCGGTCGCTGAAACGACCACTTTTGAACCACTTTTTTGTGGTCCAGCTGTCGCCGACATAATGTTATAGACATTTTTGTTAACAGTTTATAATTTAACTAATCCAGACTGTGTCTATGAGCTCAACAATTTTTAAAATTATAGTTTTTTCAAATCAACTTATAATTTCTTCAAGTTAAACGCATATTTTTTGGGCTATTTATAAGGCATATTTTAGAGTTTTTAAGTGCATATTTAAGAGCTAAAAAGTAATATTTTTAGTGCTACAACTTCCGAGCTC